TTACACATTTTCGTCTATTTACGGTCCATTTTAGAGAAATTATGTAGAGGATAAAAATTATAGAGAATTATATTACAAACAACTTTTGTTTGAACAATTTTTATAAAAAAATATTTTTTTACATTTTGTCAAATTTCTCGAATACGGACCATTTTAGGAAAATTTTGTATAGAACAAAAATTTTAGATAATAATATAAGAAGTAACTTTTATTTGAAGAAATTTCTTCCCCAAACGTAAATAACAGATATATTCCATAAAATATAAAAATGACCACCTATAAAGTATCCCCCCAGATATTCCGACTCTGCCCAAAATCAAATCAGCTCATTGGACGCTGGAACAAAGCTTAAGTTTAAAATTTGGTATTTTCTGTGTATTGGTTCATGAGTTATGCGACACACATACACACACACACACACACACACACACACAGACATCATCGTGAAAATAGTCAAAACGGATTCAGGGGACCTCAAAACGTAAAAATCCGTCGAAAACTCGAGGTCGAAAAAATCATGATTCCTATACTTTCCTTATATCTGTATACAGATAGGAAAGTAAAAATGACGTTATTCTAATCGATATAATTAAATATTAAAATATAACAGTCTACGGAATGCAAACACAGACTTTTTAATATAGAAAAAGTATTTTATATTCAAGATAAATTTATTCTATAACAATATTGAACAATTAGTAATTCGATGTGGAACATAACTACAATAAGGTATAACGACAATTACATTAAGATAAGATTTATAGAATGTTCAATTGTGTAAACTATAATAGACAATTAAACGTTGTTTTTATCATTTAATTTATAAAGCCCATTATACTATTAATTAGAATAGTTTTAAAGATAAATTTAAATACGCAAATAGTTGATCGAAAATAAATATTAAAAACTAGTTAAATGGGGCATGTTCAAAAATTTTGAATTTTTTTTTATGAATCATAGAGTTGTAAATAAAGCTCCATTTTTTTTTTTTTTTTTTAATTTTTCCTTTACCAGAGTTATGAATTTTTTAAAATTTATGGAGTCACAGGGAATAGACCAATAGGAGCTAGCGCCACAACGTTGCCGGTTAGAAGGTTTACGAGAAGTGATGTACGTTCGTTTGTGTACTCCTTCTTACTTTTAGACTTCTAAAACATCGTTAAAAAAATATCTTTTAAATATATAATATCAAATGTTTTTTGAAAGTATTATTTCTGATTAAACTTTTACCATATTTAAAGTTTTATTGTTTTAAAAGTCACTTAATAATTCAGAAAATGGCAAAACGGCAGCACTGTATGTGTCATCTGTCATAGTGTCTCAATCAAGAATTTATTTTGAATTTGAGTGTTTAATTTTGTACTTTTTATAAATATTATGACTACGAAAAAGTGTTTTGTTCCAGAATGTGATAATGATTCACATTCATCTTCAAAAATGTTTATTAGTGTTCCTAGAAATTTGGAAAGAAGAAAATCAACCTTCTACTAGCGATGTTTCTCGTCAACATTTTAATAAAAATACACCGGATGTTCAAGATGTAGCAGCAATTTCTGCTAATTATCCCCTTCAGGAAATTCAAAATGAGGCTACTATAAATTCTTAGGTGTATAACCTAAAAACCCTTCTGGAAGAAATTCCAGAATCTCCTGAAAGTTTTGAAGATAGCGAATTTATTCATCATTTTCTGGAAGAATTAGTGATAAAGAAATAATAGAAAAATGTGGGTATTTAAACAAACTGGTTCCTGGATCCCATATAATGGCAGATAGAGGGTTTAAGAGCAAACATGACGGGCGCTCCTCCGCCAAAAAAACAATTTTACATTTGAGGCAGTTAAAAAAATGGTTCAGGCCAATCGTTCTAAAAATGAACCAAGAATGACGCTAAATCGCGAAAAACTTATATTTTTAAAGAAAAACAACAAAAATTTTAACTTTTTAACAAATTTAATTTTTTGGCTCTTTAGCGTCATTTTATAACAAATATCTTAACTATTTTCCAAATAACTTTTTTTTAAAAAGATTACCAATTTTAAACAGGACCAAAGAGTAACATAGTTTTCATTCCGATACTAATTCTATTAAAACAATGATACCAGTGAATATGGCAACGCTGCTGGTCTATGAAGCTCGTGGTTAAAAGGGTAGCTGCTGTTTAGTTAAATTTGTTAATTCCTGTGTCGAAAAATAGATAGTTGTTTTTGAAGAGGTGCGAAATTATTCTGATCGTCTTAGTTTGTTGTTGAGGCGTTGTTAGGTTTTTGTTTAATTTAGTTTTTAGTTAATTTATGAAATGAAAAATTCTTGAAGGCAAAAATGCTACCACAGCCGACACATTTCTATTTTAATTGTTTGCTGCCAGAGTTAGTAAATCCTAGAAAAATACGACATGTGCCAATTAGGGAAAAGAGATTGTCAAGAATTTTGCCCGCTTAAAAAAATGTGCAATATACAGGGTGTTTCTAAATACATGCGACAAAATTCAGGAGGTGATTGCTCGTATGAAATTAAAATGGGTCTTTTCTATTGCAAAATTTTCTCAGCCCACCCCTAAGTGCTGCCTTCTAGTGTAACGCGCTTGTAACTATCGTATCGTACACTCTGTCATTATTCGTTTCTTGCAACAATTTACACCAGTTTACACCAGAAGATAGCACTTAACGAGGCGTTTTAGCCACTAATTTTGGCGAATTTTAAGAAATCACTAACAAGACATTAGGATCTTAAATTTGTGGATTATATTAAGAATAGTGCTGTCGACGAATGCATTTATTTTCATTATGATATTTCAAAATTAAAGCCCTTTTAGTCTTGTCCAAAAATTATAAGGGGTGTGATCACCTTAAGATTGAAAGAGAATTAGCTTTAATTCATGAGATGCAAAGCATCATAATTGTCGCGTCACAAAAATCACCTGCTGCCAAGATAAAATTTTGATTCAACAGTATTGTAAATTTTGTGTTGTAAAAGAGAAAATATTAACATTTCGTGTTTAAATAGTTATTTTTTTATTTTAATAATCTAAGTGAAAAAAAAATTATACATACATTAAAAAATTGTTATAATAATATACTTATTTAATTGTACTTATATTATTTGTTGTTCCTTTAATACAATAAATACAATTTAACTATCTCCAATTCATCACTTTCCGTATCCATAATGCCTAGGGTCCGATACGATTAGAAGAACACCGCTACGTCATAACTATTATTACGAATTTCCAATATACAGGGTGTCCCGAAATTAGACGGTCATATTTTAACAGCGTAATCTATATCCTACAAGTATTAGAAATTAAAAATTTAAAAAAACCGAATTCAAAAACGTGCAGATGCCGTCACCACATCTTAACCAAATTTATATGGGACCACTCCTGAAGTACCCCCTTACTAACAAAAAAAGAATCATATAAATCGAACAAGGTGGTAATGCATTATCGCTAAACATACATAAAAAATGAAGAGTTTGAGGATTTTCTCATGTACCCAATTATTAGATTTTGACCAAATTTATATGGGACCACCCCTGAAGTACCCCCTTTGTAACAAAAAAAGAATCATTGAAATCGGACACCGTGTTAAAGAATTATCGCTGAACATACATAAAAAATAACGAATTGAGAACCTCCCCTTTTTTTGAAGTCGGTTAAAAACAGGAGTAAAAGTTTATATGAACATAGGTCCGAAAACATTTCGTTTTCGAGATACAGGGTGTTACAAGTGAAGTCCAGATGGCACATTTTTGTAAATATTTTCTAAAATTTCTTTAGGGACCGGTTTTCCAAAGTTAAAAAAAAATAAATTTCTGATTCTACAGACCTACTAATTATTGTTTACACTTTCGAATAAGGTAACATGCTTTTCTCTTGAAAATGGCGCCTCCTAGCGAGATGCAACAAATGCAGCTTTATTATACAGAAAAATTGGTTTTCCAAATTTTATAGTTAAAAATGTTAAAAACTATCAACAAAAAAAACTTAGAGCAATTTTACCCTAAGCTCCCCCTAATTTACCCACCTAAGAAGATGATCAAAAACTGGGGTTTATTCCAATAAATGGAGTATTAAAAGGTAAGTATTTGTACCAAATTTTACCTAATTATCTTTAAACGTTTAAAAAATATTTACAAAAGTGTGGTATCAGGACTTCACCTTTAACACCCTGTATCTCGGACAAGAAACGTTTTCGGACCTATGTTTATATCAACTTTTACTACTATTTTAGGATGAAGATTACGCTGTTAAAATACGACCGTCTAATTTCGGGACACCCTGTTTATCATCTATAACTATCAATAAATAAAAAATATTTGACTTGTTCGGTTTAAAAATAGTATTCCTACATTCCTATAATATTAACAAGCCACTAAACCCCCAGTAGGCGGCGATAG